TGCAGGGGTTCAGAGAGAAATCAAGGGGGCGTCTGCTGGGTGGGGAGCCCCTGGGTGCAGCAAACAGTCAAGCACTCAGCTGCTCCCCACGAGGTTGGAGGGTCAAGGCCACCCAAGGTGCCTCAGAAACAGGTCTGGCAATCTACGTCCAAAAGCAAAGCTGTTAAGGACCTGTGACTTCTGGGAGGTACATAGTCCATACAAGAGTGGCCTTGGGGAGGGGACAGTGTTTGCAGGGGCTGGCCCCTCCAATCAGGAAGCTGCTCAGCCACATCTCCCACAGGGACCTAACACCTAAGGGGCGAACCAGATTGTTTAGAGATGGGGGGATTCCCAGGAAGAATCAGCTGGAGTCAGGGGCAGTGGCCGCCTCGGGGTGCTGGAATCGGGGGCTGCAGGCGGGCCGGGGCGGCTGCTCAACAGGGGCCCACTTGCACCATTGTGTGTTTCACCTTGAACTCGGGCTGCTGTGTCTGCTCAAAGCTGTCATCATTCTTGACACTGTCCCCCAAGAGAGCACAGGCTCGAGAGGTGGCCTCAAACTATGTGGAAGGCCCTGGAGGCGAGGAGGGGTGGAGGCAGGGCGGGCTTAGACGGAGTGGGGGCTCACAGAGCCTAGCCTGCTCCCCTTTTGAACCCAAGAGCCTCCACTTTCTTTGACAGACCTACTGCGAGTGTGTTTTTAAACCCTCCCAGAACATATAAACACGACATTTGCCAATGCAACATTTTTCGCATGTACAACTCAACGACACCAATTACATGGATCATGTCAGGCAGCCGTCACCAGAAACAGAAACTCCGTGTCCCTTAATGGTGATGCCCCCTGCCTGCCTGCCCACCCTGGTGACCACACAAAACCTTGGTCTCACCCTCCCTGTGAGCGAGAGCCGGCCTTCTGTGCCTGACGCACTGCACCGAGCGGCATGTGTTCAAGGTCCAGCCGTGTCGTCGCAGGTCCCAGGCCCCTGTTTCTGTTCTTGGCTGAGCGATATCCCCTGGCTGGACCGGTGTGGGCATCCGTCTCTGTTCACAGACACTCAGGTTGTGTCCACGTTTCGGCTGTCCTAGCAGTGCTGCAGTGAACGGAGGTGCACGGCGCCACTGCGTTTCAACATTCGGGGCATCTGTAGCCACGTGGTCACAACACTTCTGTCTGTGGGCCACGGCTGGGCTGCCGGGGGCACCCACTGGTGTTTGTGTCTAGTACAAAGCCCCAGTGCATGGTGGTCCCTGGACCTCACCCCACACGGAGAAACTCACCTGACAGGGTGAGTGGCCTGGGCGCTGGCGTCTTATTCCAGGGCCAGGCCCAGGCTGGCCTGACCTTGTGCCTTCACGCCCTACAGTCCCCCTGAGGGCCTGACCTCAAGGCCCTGGCATTTCTTGCAGGTACAAGGACTACCGTGAGCCCCCGTGGTCCGAACATAAGTACGACATCTCCAAGGACTTCTGGGTGGTGCTTGCGGCCCGGCTGGCCTTCGTCATCGTCTTCCAGGTGCGGTGGCCCGAGCGATTCCCGGAGGGCGGGGAATTGGGGCCTCAAGGCCTGCTCTATGTCCAGAGTTGGGTCAGCGTCCGAGGCGGACACCCAGGGAGCAGGGCCGCCTTGAGCGTGCTTGCCCGTCTGGAGTGAACACCACTGTTCGCTCCAGGTTAGGAGGTAAGCACAGGGCAGCCCGTGCTGACACTGCTTCCTGGGTGCTCCTACACTGGTCAGGACGCGGCAGCTGGCCGGAGCAGGCTCCTTGAAGGTGGGTCTGGAGAACCCGTTTAGGACCCCGAGAAGGGCCGGCTGACCCCTGGCCCGGTCCAAGGACAAGCCCCAGGAAAGCCTCTGGAAGGAAGGAGGATATAAGGGGTGGTGCCTGAGGGGTTTGGACTCGCGCAGGGAAGGCCAGAAAACAGAGCCCCTGACTCCACGTGTGTCCAGCGGGTTTTCAGTGGCTGAGTTTTCAATAGTTGATCACCAGGCTTTTCTTCTGAGGCGCCTGCGCGGACTCGAACCCCCAACCTTTTGGTTAGCAGTCGAGTGTGGTCACCATCTGCAGCACTCCGGGACTCCTCGGAAAAGGCTGTTGTTGGTTGTAGTGCAGTCGGGTCCTGCTGACGGCGCCCCCATGTGGCCAGAGCGGAGCTGCTCCGGCGGGTTTCCAGAGCTGGGCCTGGGAAGGCAGGCGGCCAGCTCTGTCTGCTGACCGGGGAGCACAGGTTTAGTATAAGTGGTGCTGGTGGGACGAAAGAGCGAGGCCGGGCCCTTGGCTCTATGCTGTCTGTCAGACGTGGGGTGAGGGGCACCCAGCGCTGTCCACCTCTCAGTCTCTGTCCACAGCTCTGTGGAGTAGGCTCTCTTCAGTGGGCAGGACCAGGACAGACAGGTGGACAACTCAGTAAGCAGGACCTCAGTCTCCACCCAGCCCAGTGCTCTGGAAGGAACACGGGCACTCTAGGGCCTGGGACCTGGCCCACCCAGCCTGGGCACTGGGAGGGGGACAGGGGCCCTCTCTTGAGGCCTGGGACCCAGCCCACCCAGCCCAGTGCTCTGGGAGAGGGACAGGGCCCTCTCTTGAGGCCTGGGACCCCGCCCACCCAGCCTGGGCACTGGGAGAAGGACAGGGGCCCTCTCTTGAGGCCTGGGACCCAGCCCACCCAGCCTGGGCACTGGGAGCGGGACAGGGGCCCTCTCTTGAGGCCTGGGATCCAGCCCACCCAGCCTGGGCACTGGTCATTTCTTAAGCCTCATTGATAAGGAGTTCAGAACGATTCAGAGAGTTGTCCAATTTATGGGGTTCAGTTCTGTCAGGAGGAGGCCCTGGGTGGCAGAAACCAGAGGCGCCTGGGAAGATAGGCCTGGTGACCCACTCTCTGGAGCGTGGCTCTGCTGCGACGCGGGGCATTGTGGGTCGGAATCAACGAGGCGACAAGACAGTTGGCACACGTTTCCGGGAGGTCGGCTGGGGCGTTGCTGTGCTTCCGGACCCTCTGGGGCCCCTGGAAGTGCACGCGGGGAGGTGGCAGGCAGCTGGCTGCAAGGCTGGAGGGTCGAGCCCACCCAGCCTCGGAAGGAAGGCCTGGCATCTGTTACGGAAAACTCAGCCACTGAAAACCGCTGGGAGCGCAGCTGTGCTCTGCCCCACACAGGGCGGGCGTGACTCGGGGCCGCCTCACAGCAACCTGGTGGCTTGGCCTTTGGGGAAACTGAGGCCCGGAGAGCGGCAGGGGCTGATCAGCTGCGGGGCGCAGGGAGAGCCGTTGGCCCGTGGACCCCTTCCCAGCCCCCACGAGCTGCCTCTCCTTGCAGAACCTGGTGATGTTCATGAGTGACTTCGTGGACTGGGTCATCCCAGACATCCCCAAGGACATCAGCCAGCAGATCCACAAGGAGAAGACGCTCATGGTGGAGCTGTTCATGAAGGAGGAGCAGGGCAAGCAGCAGCTGCTGGACACGTGGATGGAGAAGGGCCGCCAGCGCGAGGAGCCGGCCAACAGCCACGCGGCCAGGGCCGGCCCGGACAGCGCCGCCTTCCCCGGGGGCGCCCTGTAGCCGGCGGCCAGCCTGCGGGACCCGGCCAGACCTGGGTGATGGTCACACGTGGAGGACCTCTGGCGGCCAGGGCACCACTTCTGTCCCCTGGTTTTTTCTTCCTTTCCTTGTGTTTGCACAGAGCCCTGATGCAGGGAGTTAGTTTCTTACTGTTAGGGTGAAGGGTGAAGGGGAGAGGTTGCGGGCGCTTTGCAGAGACCGTTCTCGGGAAACGGGGTCTCCTTGGTGTGGAAATATCTGTCTTTGAGCCTCCTGATGCCTTAAAATACAAGCAAGGTGGGACGCGCAGCCTCGGGCAGAAGCGGGCGTTTAGAGCGGAGGAGGGGGAGTTGATGGGGAGTAAACAAAGCAGTGTCTGCTCGGAAGGGGTCTCCACCTCTGGGTCAGACGGGCCCCAAGCCTCTTAATGAGCTTCCCTCCCAGGTCAGAAGCTGAGACACGCGGGTCACAGAGAGGGGCACCGTCGCCCTGCCTGCTCGGAGGGCGCGGGAGCTTCTATTTTGTTCTCGGAGAGCTGGAGGGACGCAGGGGTCCGTGATGAAGCAGTCACCTCGCCCTGTGTCCCCCTGCCGTGCCCCCACCCTCGGCACACTGATGAGACCTGGGACCGGCGTGCTCTCTTTGTGGGGTCAGCTCGACAGGGATGCCCAGTGGTCGACCCGGGCGGTGCTCGCGGGGTGCCTTCAGGGCCTCAAGGACTGAGACTTCCGGGAGGTGTGCCCAGCGTTGGAACAAGGATCGATTCAAAAAAAAAAAAAAAATTATGTAGTGGACTTGAGGGTTTGGTTTTTGGGGTCGTTCTGGGGTTTTTTCTGTAGCTTCAAGGTGGAGGGTGTTTCTTTGCTTAGTTACGGAATCTCACCGAGAGGGATTTGCAGTACTGTTACTACCAAAGAGATTTATTAATAAAGCCTTCTATTTTGGTAACACTTCTTTATATTTTTACCTACAGGAATGTCACTCTTGGACAGTCATTGGGGAAGCTTGTGACAGCAAGTCCCCTTAGCCATGCGTGTTTGCACACACATTTGTCTGAGCTTTCTCGAACACCAAAAGAAACAAGAGACGTTTCACCCAAGGGACAGAACCGGCGGCATCCATGCGTCCGTCCCGCCCGCGCCTGCCTTGTGACATTGGCATCCCCGTGTCCGCGGTCGCCAGTCCAAGTCCACAGGTGGCACAGCCGTCCTCCCTTTGCTCCCGTCCTGGGGCCTGCCGCTTCCCTTTCTCTTGTACCATCAGCGTGTGGAGCGGGGTTCTTGTCTGTAAATAACATTGTATTCAGGAAGGGGGGTTACCAACATGCCTTTCGTGGAAGCCATTTAAAAAAAAAAAAAAAATGAATGTGCACAAACCCGCCCAGCACCGAGGCTGAACATTCAAGGAAATAAATTTGAATACTCACTGCTCTCCTCTGTGGACGCCGCGCGCGACCCCGGCCTGAGGGAACACAAGCTACTGCCCCCAGTCGCATGTCTGACGCTGCGGGTCCGGGAGACATGTGGGCCTCCCTGTGCCGGACCCTTGAATTGTTCCAGATGCTCCTGGGACTTCATCTCCCTGATTCTGTGTGTGCACGTGTGTGTTTGCATGTGCTTGTGTATGTGTGCACATGTGTTTGCATGCATAGGTGCACACATGTATGCATGCACTTACGTTTGTGTGTGCAGGTGTGTGTACATGTACACTTGTGTTTGTGTGTGCATACACAGGTGTGTTGGCATGTACTTGTGTGTTTGTGTTGCTTGTGTGTGCATGCATATGTCGGGGGGGGCATGTGTGTCAGGGAGGGAGGGGGTTGTGGTCTCTCATTCTCCTCATAGCCTCTTCCAGAATCCCCTAACCTTGACCCCTAGTCCACCGACCCGACAGACTACTGCAGGAGTTCCATGGGCCTTTTGGGGACTAACTAGGGACGTCCGTGTTTTCACCTGAGCCCGTGGGCACTCCTTTTGAGCACCCACCTATAATCCCCATCAGGAGCTCTGGTGGTGTAATGGATAAGGCACTTGACTGCTAACTGAAAGGTCAGCAGTTCAAACCCACCAGCTGCTCCGTGGAAGGAAGACAGGGCGATCTACTTCCGTAAAGATTTACAGCCTCAGAAACCCAGTGGGGGTCTCTATGAGTCAGAAATGGCTCAATGGCAGTGAGTTTTTTTAGGTTTTTTAAATTCTCATCATTTAGTGAAACAAAGGATTTTTTTCTGATGTCAGTAACGCCTGCAGTCCTTTAGCCAGTTGGGTTCATGGACACCCTCACCTCAGCTCGGGCCCGGACTGCGGGCGCCCCCTAGTGTCAGGACGTGTTGGTCCCCAGGAAACCTCAGCCCCTGCTTCCCCCAGCGGCTCACGGTGCCCCAGGCACCTGCCTGGAGAACACTGTCCCAACGCTTCGGAGCCACCTTCCTGGTTCCGTGAGGACCCTGTGGAGCAGTTCTGCTCTGGAACCCACAGGTCTCCGAAGTCAGAAACGGACAGCAGAAACAGTGTCAACAAGAAAGCTTTGGCCCCACCTTCCTGGTCCGGTCCGGAGGGACCAAGGGAAGAGTGGCCTCAGGACCCGCCCCAGGGACCCGTCCTCCACGGTCTCCCACAGGCCTGTGAGGTCAGCAAGGCATCGTTGGCCCCTGTGAGAGATGAGGACACGGGCTCAGAGAGGGCACGTAACTTGCCCGGGAGGCGGGTTCATTAGCTCCGGAGCTGACGGGAGCCCAGGCCCCACGTTCACTTGTCAGCATTCCAGAAACATTTGTGGAGCGCCTGCTCCGTGCCAGCCACTAGGGGGAAGCAGTGAGCAAAGCAGGTGCAGCCCCTTCTGGGTGGGAGGGGCATGACTCCTGCAGAGAGAGGCAGAAGCCGGCCAGAATACGAACCTAGGAACCAGATACTTTGCCAGCAAGAATGCGCCAGAGGCTGTGACGGAAAGTGAGCAAGGTGGTCAGGGAAGCCACTAAAAAGTGGGGCAATACGGAGCCAGAACATGAAACCCTGGACCATTCAGAGACAATGGCACGTGCGAAGGTCCTGAGGCCGCAGTTGGCCTGGTGGACACTTGGAGCAGCAAGCAGGAGGGCGGGGCTGGAGGGGGCCGTAGGTAGGAGAGGAGGCTGGCACCTACTGGAGTGGGGCCTCACCGGCGACGTGAGAGCAGTGCTTAGGGGTCTGATCGGTCGCAGATCACACTGTCGGGGTCACGGGGTTTTCAGTCCCTGATTTTGGAAGTAGCTCACCAGGTCTCTTTTCCTGGCCCATCTTAGTCTGGAAGCTCTGCGGAAACCCGTCAGCCTCACAGTAACACACAGCCCACGCTGAACATGGGTGGGGCTGGGGGTGAGGTCCACTGGCTGGAATCGAACCCAGATCTCCCACACGGAAGGCGAGGATTCTACCATGGAACCACCACTGCTTTATCCTTTGAGAATCAAACCAAACCAGAGCTCCTGCTCGTGACACCCCGCGTGGCACAGGGTAGAACTGCCCTGCAGAGCTGGCCGGGCCTTTCCTCTGTGGCACTCCTGGGTGGGTTTGGGGGGTTTGAGCTGCCAGCCTTTAGCTTAGTAGGGCAAGGGCTTGGCAGTGAGGGCACCTGTGGTCCATTGCAGCGGTCGGATAAATTGCAGCGGGGTGGAGGGCCAGTGTTGGAACCCAATGACTGAAGGTGAGGCTTGGGTGAGGATGGGAGTGGTAAGATGCAAGGAAACCGATAGATAACGTCACAAAGACCTGAGGTCTGGAGGAAAGGACCCCAGGATCGGCCTGGTGCTGTTTTTTCACAGACAAGCACTGTGGGGCTCAGAGAAGGCCGAGACTTGGCCACAGTCACACAACAACCTGGCCACACCATCCTCAGACCCACGGCCCAGAATCCAGCACTGATGTTCTCTCCTGCTGGCGCCTGTGTTGGCGTGGGTGGGAGCCAGGCTGGGCACTGCAGGGGACCTGAGGTGTGGGACGCATGGGCACCTGGGCCAGCCATGCCATCAGGCCGTGTAGTGACACACGGTGTCCACCAGGGGTTCTGCTCCTTCCCTGAGGGCACAGGCTGGCCAAGTGCTGCTGCCAGCCCCAGACAACATCCATTTGGCCAGTGCTTTGGAGCATGTAACAACAACAACAACAACACGGAGCTCTGGTGGCGTAGTGCCTAAGGCATTTGACTGCTCACCAGAAGGCTGGCAGTTCAAACCCATCAGCCACTCCTTGGAAGGAAGGTTGAGCAATCTACTTCCATAGTGATACCACCTCGGAAACCAAAGGAGGGGTCGCTATGAGTCAGATCTGACTTGATGGCAGTGGGGATGGAGTCAGTCATGTTCTCAAAGATGTGTCCAAGCCCAACCCCGTCCCTGTGGGCGTGGCCTGGCTCGGAGAGCGGGTCTTTGCAGATGCTATCAGTTCACAGGAGGTCCCCTGGAGCAGGGTGGGTCCTGGTCGCACCTGAGTCGTGTCCAGCAAAGAGAAGAGATGCGGAGACACCGAGAAGGACGGCCGGGAGGACGGAGCTCTGCTGCATCCACAAGCCCGGGACGCCGGGGGCCACCCCAGCAGAAGCCGGGAGCCACCGGGCCGATCCTGCCCCGAGTCTCTGGAGGGGGCTCGGCCGCAGCAGCCTGAGCTCAGACTTCTGGTCTCCAGGCTGAAGACTGAGGTTCCGCCCTCACCAGCCGCCGGGTCTGCGGGACCTTCTCTCGGCAGCTGCAGGAGCTCACCCGGCAGGCTTGGTGTGTTCTCTGATTTTTGAGTTAATTTGATCTGTAAACATCAGGACTGGCCACATGACAACCCAGCTATTCAGCTTCTCCTGAAGGGTGGCTGGTGGGCTGCCAGCACCGGTCTCCTCGCCCACCTGTCCTGTTGGAGGGGGCCCAGGGTTCCTGCTCCTCTTCAGAGGTGTACACTTCCTGCAGCCCACCACAGCCCCCTCCTCACCCTCCCAAATGTCACCGGTGAATGGTTCCCAGAGGCACTGGCCTTTCCCGACTAGCCTCCACCATGGTC